TAAGTCAATGCATTCCTAATGAAGGCCACACAAGAGGTTCATGGAGATTAATAATAATTGATCAAGAAGGAAAAGGTTTCTTGCTGTCAATGTAACCAAAGAGATCGCTTTGCACAGAAAATGGGTTTAGTTATTTGAAATGCACTGTATGCCTTGAGTTTTCTAAAGGCTTGTTTCCATAGTCTGAGGTCTCTGATCATTCAAAGGTTAATCTCATTCTAACTAGCAGGACTTGTGATGTACGTGTTATTTGTCCCCCAAGCACCCATGGGGCTTCTGGAAGTCAAATGCACCAGCAATCTCCTCTTCGCTGAAAGACAGACTTTTTTCAGACACAGACCATCTAAATAGGTTGTGACTTTTTCCAGCAACAGCCTGTTGGGTTATCACAGCTTTGGCAGGAACTGGGAAAAGCACGAGGGGAGGTGACAAGGGTGCATGCAGCTGAATTTATTTGCAGGAATAATCTCACATACACAGTGTATTCTGCATATGCCGTACTAAACATAGTATTTAAAAGAATATTCCAGAAGGACAACACAGAGATGCGATTTATCAAATGCTTAGATTTACATAAACCAGCATCCAAATGTAGAACTTACTACAGTTCCTAGAACTCTGCCAGGGCTGACAAATAATTGCCAAGATTATAATTTTAAAAAATTGATTCCAGCATATAAAAGTTAGTTGCAGTATCTCACAGTAGCCTACACCTATTGCAATATGTGGGAACTAAATATCCCTATTTATTGCATAATCTGCTTGATAGGGTATATACCAGTGTGCAGAGGGTCCTTCAGAATTTCTAGAGTTAATATGTGGTTACACCCCTTTAGCACCTGATGGATAAATGCATGCACTAGCTATTGGGATTTTAGCACAGGTATCTCTTGTTTGTTGTATTGTTGGGTCAGTAGCCAGGCCTGAACCTTGTAGCTCTCCCCATTGTGTCTTTTCCCCTATGTTAGCATTGTGTCCATAGTAGCACTTGCGTAGGCAGGGCAGAGTAGGACTGGCCATAGAGGGATTACTTTGACGCAGTTGGCCAGCTTAAGCATGTATTGCAATATGTGTGAACTAAATATCCCTATTTATTGCATAGTCTACTTGAAAGGGTATATACCAGTGTGCAGAGGGTCCTTCAGAATTTCTACAGTAGCCTACACCAACACTGTTTCTAGGCCCAGCTCTTTGGCCTCTGGCTCCAACGGTTAAACACTAAAAATGGTGGGTGTGACATGTGCATAGCACACTGCTTATAATAGGGGAGATCTAAACTTATATTCAACAGGCTTCATCTGAGCATGCTCAGTACTACCAAAAAGGGTCTTAAAAAGTAAATGCAGCTCTTTGTTACCAGAATCCACATTCCTAGGGACAAAAAAAAAAGTGATATTCTGCTGCACTTTCACATATGATTAATTTACTATGTTTCGTAATTGCTCATTTCAGGCCAGTATTGGCACATAAGGCTTGTTTTCATCTGCATACATCTTCATAATTTAGGTTGTAAAATGGCAACACTGCTGAACATCTCCCTTTGATCAGAAAAGAAGTCCATCTTCATTCTGCTAACCAGTTTAAATCCATATTAAACCACTAATTTATAGTAAACCATCTACAACAAGTGACACCCTTTCTGTATCCTTAGAACCATGGCTGCCCACCAAAAGAAACATCTGACTGGCTGTAACCCAGTTTACAACACCCAATCCATTGTTTAGAAAACCAAATCCTACTTCTAAACTGTGGACTTGTTCCGCCAGAACCATTTTTTTGATGAATAGTCACGATTAGAGATGAGCGAATTATTCAAAAAATTCGATTCGGCTGATTCGCCGAATTTGCGGGAGAAATTCGATTCGATGTGAATTTATTCGCCACGAATTTAACTTATTAAAAGGGTTTTCTAGGCTTCAGAGAGCCTTTATATTAGTGCAGAACACTGTACCTTTAATTTAAATGCCCTTGGAGTCTGCTGGGGAAGAGAAATAATACTGTCAGTCAGTATGACATGCAGATGAGTGTCGTCGATCTTAGAATCACCGCACACTTCACTCATTTGGGCAGTCACGGGGCGAAGAAGAAGAACGAACGAAGAAGAAGAAGAAGAAGAAGAATGAAAAGAAGAAGAAGAAGAAGAATGAAAAGAAGAAGAAGAAGAATGAAAAGAAGAAGAAGAAGAATGAAAAGAAGAATGAAAAGAGAAGAAGAAGAAGAATGAAAAGAAGAGGAATGAAAAGAAGAATGAAAAGAAGAATGAAAGAAGAAGAAAAAGAAGAATGAGAAGAAGAAATGAAAAGAAGAATGAAAAGAAGAATGAGAAGAATGAAAAGAAGAAGGAGAAGAATGAAAAGAAAAGAAGGAGAAGAATGAAAAGAAGAATGAAAAGAAGAAGAAGAATGAATGAAAAATAGAAGAAGAAGAAGAATGAAAAGAAGAAGAAGAATGAAAAGAAAAAGAAGAATGAATGAAAAAATGAAAAGAAGAATGAAAAGAAGAATGAAAAGAAGAAGAAGAAGAATGAAAAGAAGAAGAAGAAGAATGAAAAGAAGAATGAAAAGAAGAAGAATGAAAAGAAGAATGAGAAGAATGAAAAGAAGAATGAAAAAGAAAGAAGAAGAATGAAAAGAAGAATGAGAAGAAGAAAAGAAGAATGAAAAGAAGAATGAGAAGAATGAAAAGAAGAATGAAAAGAAGAAGAAGAAGAAGAATGAAAAGAAGAATGAAAAGAAGAAGAAAAAGAAGAAGAATGAAAAGAAGAAGAAGAATGAAAAGAAGAGAAAGAAGAATGAAAAGAAGAAGAAGAAGAATGAAAAGAAGAATGAAAAAGAAGAAGAATGAAAAGAAGAATGAAAAGAAGAAGAATGAAAAAAAGAAGAATGAAAAGAAGAAGAAGAAGAAATGAAAAGAAGAAGAAGAAGAATGAAAAGAAGAAGAAGAATGAAAAAAGAAGAAGAAGAAAAAGAATGAAGAAGAAGAAAAGAAGAAAAAGAAGAATGAAAAGAAGAAGAAGAATGAAAAGAAGAAGAATTCCAGTACAGAATGAAAAGAAGAATGAAAAAAAAGCGTATCTGCAGAGAGCTCCACTATTTCTGACAGTTCTCTGACAGTGAAAAGAAGAATGAAGAAGAATGAAAAGAAGAAGAAATGAAAGAAGAATGAAAAGAAGAAGAAGAAGAGAAGAAGAGAAGAATGAAAAGAAGAACATTTTGAATAAGAAGGAAGAAAGAAGAAGAGAACAGCGGTTGAAGAAGAAACATTGTATCTATTTATTTCTGAATAAAAACATCTGTATCCTAAATGGAAACAAATAGATACAATGATACAATGTTTCAACCGCTGTAAATGAACTGTCAGAACTGTCAGAGAACTGTCAGAAATAGCGGAGCTCTCTGCAGTGACACTTTTGCCGGCTGATCGGGAAAAATTCGATTCGTGCATCCGAAGTTTGCTAAAATTCGGATTCGATGCGAATCGAATTTTTCCTAATATTCGAAACGAATTCCACTTCGCCAAGTTCGATTCGCTCATCTCTAGTCACGATCCTAAGTAAACAGAAAGGGTGAGTTGATGTGGTTTAGAAATGTTGCAAATGTACAACTTCAACTGTAATCAACTATATGACATTACAAACAGTTCTGCAGCTATCAGAAATGTTTCGTAACTGCAGTTCATATTTAGAGTATGTCAAGGAAAAATAAAATAATAATATAAAAAAAAATATATTTTACACCTCTGTAATGCATGTATATTTCTCCATGTTTTACCCCTTTAATTTTGCTGCATGGTCAGAACAATAGGTGATGATGTGCCAGAAATATTTAAACCTACCTTCCACTATGATATGATCAGTGGATTTGGGTGCAATGTCAGGCTTCTGCACACACTTATTCCAGCTTAATGACCATACCTTTGTAAACGCTTTCTATTAGAAAGCTGAGGGGAGTGTCAATGAACTATGAGGGCACTCATCAGCGCCTTCCTAGTTCATCGAGAACTACAAGCCGTCTGCTGCGGTAGTTTATTCGTTCACATACTGTATCTCTGAGAATGAATGATTTGGTTGTGCGGACGGAGCCCTGCAAAGCTACAATGGTTTTCAAGATTTGACAGCGGCTGCTGGGGAAAGGATACTCTGCCCGCTGACATAAAGATGGGGGGGGGGGGGGCAGGGGGTGAGGTTCTGAAGCATGTTTCACATTCCAGCTAAATAGTGGTGTAACATGAACAAACATGACCAAATCCATTAATTTATGATGGATTACAAAGAACAGAAGCCTGTCCTCATCTCCTACCCTCTGCTCATCCTCATAACCCCTTCTTTTGTACAGGCAGAGAATACAGGACGCCATCAGCTCACAAGATTCCTGGTGAAATCAACATGTATTTTTGCACTTCTAACATAGACATAACACTTTAAATGGAAATTTAACAGACCGAAAAAAGAGCAGAGTAAATAAGAGACGTTCATTGTTTACTTACACTAAAAGAAGCCTACTATGGCAAAAATATGGGAATTACCATTGGTGTCCTTCTTCTGAAGACCGCCAATGGCTTTAAATCCTTCTGATTCAAGGATCTGTTACAAGCACGCAACAAGTAAAGTCAGAGTAACACTAAAGCTCTTGATCTACATTCTGAATCAAGGTCAAAAACAAAGAAAGTATTGATGTTATTGGATGTAGCATATGGCCAGCTTGAGTTCTTTATTGTAGAGTTGGAGGGACCCATCTGAGTGGGGCCCTTCAGTCTTTTAACATTTAGGTAGGTGAGAAGCAATAGAAATAGTCAGAGGGCAATCTTTAAAGCAACACAACTCAATTTACGAAGCTAATACACCAAAATATGGATCTGTATGTTCAAAAAATATAGCTATTTTCAGCCGAGTTCAGTGAGATGAAATAAAGATCCTTATCCTTGTGCTGAAACTTGAATAGAGCTTAAAGTAGTTCATTGATATCAAGTAGGAATGGATTTATATCTGGCGCTCTCTTTACCTATTTATAGTACTTAAGACTACTGTCAGCTTTGTGATAGGTTAACCTCCCTGGCGGTATTTTCGAGTGTAGCTCGGGGTAAAGTTTCAGTACCACAAGCGGTAACCCCGAGCTACACTCAGGAATACCATACGGCGCTGCTCCGGGATCCCTCTTGCACTTACCTTGTCCTGCGCTCTCGCGATGTCCCTCCTGCAGTGTCTCCAACAATGTAATCCGGCGGATGCCGGCATCTGTCATCTGGGTTCCATCCCCTGTGAGCGTCGGGACGTACGGGGGACGGAACGGCGGGAAATTTGAAAATGACAAAAAGTGACATTCACTAAAATCACCAGGTAAAACATTACTGTATCAAACCATTTCACATACATTTTGTCCCGAGTGCTTTGTCCTGTGCCCTGCCTGCATTTTTACTGTTCTTTCTGCCTGGAAACTGAGAAACGTCCATGGCGTCCAAAAAGCGTCCCTTTAGGTCAAAAGTGGTTTTAGACCAGCTAGAGAACAGCGATAGTAAATTAGAACTACTTGCAGAATTGAGTAATAATGATTCGTTGGGAAATTCGTCATCAGACACTGAAAATAATTCTGCGACTTTGCTCAGCGATGTGCGAACTTGGCGCTCTATTTCAAATTTTAGTGTTTTTGGTTTGATTATATTATTGAATTAAATGTATTATTATATTATTATTTTTTATGATTATTTATTAAATTATAATTTTATGATTTCGTGTTTCAAGTTTTATCATACCCGGGATGTTTACTAGACTCTTGTTCAGACAGATTTCAGTGAGTTATTCCTAAAAATTACAGGGCTACAATATAAAATGCCAAATTTCCATGTAAAATAATGGTACCGCTTTCAGCACCAAAAATCTGAAATAATCATACCGCCAGGGAGGTTAATAAACAACATGCGACAGCAGTTTGAATTGTTATTACCTGCATGAGAATATGTAGAATCATTTGCTTTACCATCACATTTTCATTCATTTAATGGGGTCATTCTGTGAGCTTCTAAAGCATTTCTTAATTTTAGTGAGTGACACCCATGTGTCTGAAACCTCAACAGAAATCCATTATTAGCTATTTTTGCATAATTACTTTCTTCATACACTGCTTCAATCAATTTGACATGGATGACTGGATGTGTCCATCACTCCTGGACACATGGTAGTATGCAGTTTCCATCCTATGTCCCAGATAAGACATTCTCGCCTCGTATCTCTTGTAAAAGGACATTTTTTTCTGTTTCAAAAATGCTCAGCTCTCAGCTGTGTTGCAGTGATTCAAAGGAACTGATGTTTTTTTTTCATAGTCCCAATCCATTGCTTGATATCTCCGGGTAGGCTGCTGTCACTTTTCCACTGGCAGCAGAATATACAGTAAAGACAGGAAACTTTGTAACTGTTCATACAGATAGAAATAATGATTCTTCAACACCACGGAAACGCACTTCAACACCACGGAGAACCAGATTTAAATAGAATTTGCAGGCAAAACTCTTTTCAAGCAATTACTAACCACTACCTACATGCAAAACTTTTTCCCCACATAACCTGTGTTTTCAGCACTCCCATTTGTTTCAGTTGTAAAATGAGACTGCCCTTTCTGAGTCTGAATTTTTTTTTTTTTAGTATTTGCTTTTCGCACACTTCTAAACCCTGTGCAACCTTTTGTACTTTTGTACTGATCAGCTAGTACAAGTGCATTAATTATGATACAGCTGATGATGGGAGAGATGGAAGGTTTTTGGTGTCCACCATTATTTGTTCTTGTGTTCTCAACATTTTAAGACAAATTCCAGATACACTATTAAGGTGTGCTTTAACTTTAGCCTTAAGCATGGACTATCAGTGCTCAGAGTGAACCAAAGAACTGAGTCATCAGAAGTCTTTTGATCGTTCAGTTCTCAGTGTAGAGCCAGTGGGGCACATGACACCGGGGAGGGAAAATGGCTAATTGTGCCCTGACAAGATGTGCCTTTTGTCCTATATCTGCAATGTGAGATTTTGGAGTTTGATTCAGTAATGTCACTACTGTGCTTCTCATTGTTCTCCCTGCTGGAGTCTCTGACATGAAGAAGCACCCTGCATTTACCAGGATGGCCAATGCACACAGAGACACTGTGCAGAACAGGGCAAGGTTAGTCACTAATAGAGAAATATTGGGGACAGGGGAACCACAGGCAGCACTGATGACAAGTCATTTGCCCTTTGCCTGCAGCCTTTTTGGACTATTACTTCCAGAGTTCAATACCTTTTTTTTTTTTAGGATTACTGCACTTTACTTCAATGTAATGATGGTGGAAACCTTCTATTATAGACAATTATATATCATAACATATAGTACAGTTTAAATATTACTTGTCACTAAGGCAAAGCAGGCTACACCATGTTCAATCTTGAATTCCTCACTGCTCTTTATGGCCATTAGGAACCAGGAAAAATACTGGGTATAGAGGAACATGTGAACCAGTCCACTTCTTCCTATATGACATTGCTGGTGCTTTGTACTTGGCCGCGGCAGTATCTCACGGGGGTGGCGAGAATCCTGAAGTTTACACATTGATAAGTCTCCATTACTCCTTAGCAACTGATTGGGGGAGCATAAAGAAGGTGGTATCTGGGAGGGTAGTAAGTGTAGCTGTAGAAACTAGTAATAAAATGTGCTTGTTGCTTGGCCCTGCATTTTAAAGCAGGTATCTACAGGTGCCTGCCCTGAGGGCGCATGAACATGGGATATCCATTATGCAAATACTAACTTACAGCTTGTCTGCACGCTAGCACAACCACCTATGAAGGGAGCCTCTCGTGTTTAGAGAGGTTATGCTATTACACTAGGGAAGGAACTGAGCTACAACAAATGTGCAACTGAAATATGTCATTCATATATAGCACCTCCGATTTAAGGCTTTTGGGGCATCTGCAGGGAGAACAAAGCTGTATAGATACTGCACTGAAAGTTAATTTACACTTATTACTTAAACCATCCATTACCCACACCCCCCCCCGCCAGTCTACAGCTGGCCATACACTAGTAGATTTTCATGCAAAGGTCTATATGAAAATTCTCAGTGCACTCAATCATTTGCAGAATGTCATTCGAAAGTGCTTCAAATTTAATTTTGCTTTTTACATTCAATTTTGAAACGAATGGACATCTCCAAACAAAAACCACATTCACTGTTAGAAAATTTGTTTGAGAAAAATATTCCATCCTTCTCTTTTTTGTAGTCACTGCAGCAAGAACTTTGATTTGACTACACTAGCCATTAGAAAATCAAATGAACACTCTTGAAATTAAAATTTTTTAACAAAATTCTACTAGTATATGGGCAACTTTCTACTTCCCTCTTTCCATACAAACTCTCCACAGCAGTGCATTGAGACTGTGGTTAGTATACGTGAAGCTGGTGAAGTAGACTGATGGGAGGCTGTACAGAGAGTGCACCGCCAAGATATCGCTGCCTCATAGACAGGTAAGTATAAAGCAGTCATGAAGGGAGGGAAGGACAAATATAAATGTAACTATGCGGAAAGCACAGTCACAATTTAAGTGTTTTATCAGTTTGTGACCTTTAGAATAGTGACAGGTTTTCGTACCCATAAGGTGCCCCTCACATTATCGCACATTTTAATAAAATCAGGAACTATTTATAGAGAAAAACAGCACTGTTGTCTTGCCCGTTTGCCACAGTCAGGATTTATGCAGATGCTGTCACTTTTCTTTCAACTGTTAAGCCTAAACTTGCGCACTTGGGAGATCCAAGCTCTACAAACAGATGTCCAACCAGTGTGTCACCGTCTCAGATGACCACCGGAAGATTATGTAATGTTTTCAAGATATCATTTTAAGCAAACTCGACACAGACTGAAGATTGCAAGCAGCTGGAAAAAGCCAGAGCACATATAATGAGTTCTTTATGTTCAGTTGACTAGGTCAGAGCACCTAAGTAAGAGATCATCTAGGCAAGGTTGCAGCACAGCAGCACTATCCTGGAGGAGAACAAAGTATTTTAGCTTATCTCCAGCATGTGCATTGAAAGGCAAGCTTGAAGAGAGAGGACCCTGGCTAATGTATAGCCAGTCCATCTGATTGTACCTGCTTCACAGTAATAGCAGAAAAAAAAAAAATGGATGATTCAAGGATTGCAGGCGCATCAAGAAATTTGACTTTAGTTAGGATCCAAATGTAGACTGACCGCATGGAATCTGCAGGTCTCTGCATATTTGGGTGTGTGTATCTACACAGGTCTCTGGTGACTGCAGCTGTGAGTGGGAGGCTATGGAAGCCTGCCTATACACAGGGAAAACAGCGAAATTCCCAATTCTCATAACTAAAGATATTGTCCTGGAAGCAATTTGATGAGGTCATTGTGCAATGCTATTCTTAATGGATTTGGGTCCAAGAGAGCAAAATTACTTTTATGCTTTAATGCAGATTGATGTATTTGAGTTTTAACAATAAATTGTATATTGAAAGCTGTGAAACAATCCTTTTTGTAGTTGCTTAACACCTTTTTTATGACTAAAGCCTTTTCCCCTTATGTACAACAGCCTTTTGTTCAACTGCACTGTTGAAAGGCAACTTTTTCACTGATGTCACAAAGCTAAAGGAACTAACAGATGCCCAGATTGTTTATCAACATCAATGTATCCATTTACCCATTAAAGGATAACTACACATTTGTTAGCAGCGGGCTGTACAACATGAATTTGGTAAGAACAGGGGAGTGTAAACCTTGTTGGGGATAAACTGAAAGGATAACTATACAAAAGTATTTTAAAGTGGTAGTGAAGTCTGGGGAAAAAAAAAGTCTACCTGCAAGTTAAGGACATAATGTGCTAGTATGCATAGCATCCACAGCTCAGCATAGCATACTAGCACATAATGACAGACTAACCTACAACAGTGCGCTGTCATCACAGCCAGGGCTTCCTTCTTCATCCGGTCTTCCTTCTGACTTTGGGGGCTCCGGCCATTTGAATGGCTAAGCCGCGATTACATCACTCCCCGCGCATGCATTGAGGAGCCATGATCGCAGCACAGCTCTCTGAAGAGATTGCATATTCAGCATGCCGTCTTTTCAGAGCGCATGCAACGGTGATGTCACCAGCTGCAGAAATAGTGACTATCTCTTAAGTGGTGCACGTTTAGGAGATATTTCTTGTACCTACAGGTAAGCTTTATTATAGGCTTACCAATAGGTATACGTGACTAAGTGGTGTTTACTAACACTTTAAAGCACAAATTTTAGGACAAAAGTACCCCCCCATCCCTCTTTATCTGATTGCTGAATTAAAAAAAAAAAATCTAAACCCTCTTTTTCACTTAACTTAAGCCACAGTCACATACCTTGGGAAGGGAAGGGCTGTCCCAGTATATCTGACTTCCCCAGATGAGAAAACCTTAAAGGGTAACTAAACTCCACAATACTTACCTTTGTTTCAAAAGTCCGATGTCGTAAGATATCTCTTCAGCACTGGTATCTTCCAGGTGCTGGTCTTCCGTCATCTTGATTGGCTGGTGTTGGAAGA